TTATGATTTACTCGAAAAGTAAGTCCCACCCCACCCGGAGAAATGATGCGCATAGCCATAATAATTATTATTTACTGTGATAGTATTACATTTTAGTGTTAAAATAGAAACGATTTTGTACGTTCAACCTATAAACTTAGACAATCACTTTTTTTAATATTTTTTTCTGCATAAAAACGTAAGGTTTCACCTCCAACATGATCCTTTTGGTTGCTAAAATAGTCATATATGAAATGTTTAAGATAAGATGCTTTTTGTTACTAACATATAAGAATGGGTTAAGACAAAGTATTTTTAGTTTTGTCACAAGCTGCATAAGATAAAAACTTGTACATTTAGGTATTATCTAAAACTTATCACTCAAGAACCATTAAGATAAATTCTTTTTCTTAACGGTTCAACATTTTTCCTATTCTTTTATTATAGTTTTCACTCTTATTGGATCCTATAATCTAAACTCATACTACAACATTTTTTATATTTAGTTAAAAACATTACTATCTAATATGTACATTTAATCCATGTTTCACTATTGAAATCCAACACTAAGTTTTAGGTCTCCATCTAAGAAATAAAAGTTTGGCAAAATCTGGAAATAAAAAAACAGAGGCCATCTTAATTTTTTTTTGAGATTTTTTATTAAGGTCCCAAACATGTCTTAAGTTGATTATATTTTTCCATCGAAGTTGAACAATGTCAATTATTTGTTATATACTTGCTAAAATCTCTAGTTCAGAGTATTTAATTTTTTTTCCCTTCAATAACTAAAAGTTTGTAGAAAAGTAGAGATAGAATGTTTAAAGAAGCCTTTGGTGCTTATAGTTCAAGCTTTCAACTTCTATAATTTACTTCTTTAGTAACAACATGACTTCTGAGTTTGCTTTCCATAATGATTCATTTTCAAACCCAGCATAAGCTTTAACACATATAACTAGTTAAATATATTATGTCTCGGCAATGCTTAAAATTAATTATTTAGGTTCAAAAATCTTGTTGCATTGTCAAATAAAATATATGAAAAATTCAGTTAAAATATTATATATAAAAATTATTTTGTTTGTGAATTAAATCAAATTATTTAGAAAAATAATCATAACATGAAACTAATTGTTTTAGAAACAATAAAAAGGTAAAATATCATATGGAGATGACTTTTTAGATTATTTTACCTTAGTTTTTTTGGGTCTTTTGATTCTTTTGTGGATACTGTAAATATTAAAAATTTTAGAAATAATTTTAACTTAATTAATAATAATTAATTAATTAACCTTTATCTAATTTTTGAAACTAAATTTATTTAGGATTACAATTTTATATTCTTGGTACTATTTTAAACTTTAAAGCTAAAAGCCCTTTAAAACCCAATCCGGACTAAAAAAAATTAAAAGAAAAGTTAGCTTATAAATGGAATTATATATTAAACAAAGAATATTAAATTAAACATATCAAAAGTATTATTTAATTTTTAAAAGAAGTTTAAGTTACATAAAGAATAATATACAAACATATTGATTTTTGAAAATTATATAGTGTGCAAATAAAATTTGAAATTGAAAAAAATGTGACTCATGGATTAATTGATATAGAGTTTAGCCTTTTGCAGAGTAGGAGTAAAGAATTTGCTAACCAATGACCATAAAACTCCTTTCGTCCTTTTCCTTTTCAGATAAACCAAAGTAAGAAGATGATAATGGCAGCAGAGTTATTTAGGGTTTTTATCTTTTCTTTTACATGATTAAAAAGTGGGACTTTTCAATTCTTAATTTGGTTTCATTTTGATAGTTAATTGGATTCTATATAGTTATTTAATTTTAATTTGGGTAAATTTTTAATTGGATATTTTGTATTTTAAAATATTTTTTGTTAGACAATTCATAAAAGTTTTTAGTTAAGTTTAATCATAATTTTTTTTAAATTATTGTTGGTTGATTTTTTAATCAACACTAATTATATAATTATTGAGGTAGTGAGAATCTAGTGTGGTTTTAATTTAGCTGGTGTATCGTAGTTGTAGTTACTGCATTAATTTGTTTGCTTTTGATTAATCAAAAATTTTGTTCTTGAGAATTTGATTAATTAATATTTGATTTTCTATTCCATTTTGTATTCGATTAGTTAATATCTACCACTTAGGTTACTACTATAAAGTTATTTATTAAATTTATTATTGTTATAAATTTTTAAAAATGACTAATAGATAGAGTTCAAAACTAGAATTATCAACTCTATACAAAATATGACATTGTATCAACTTAATTATTTTAAAAAATTAATATTTTATTTTTTAGCTATTACAAAAAATTTAAATTTGTCAATTTTTCTTAAGAAAAGGTTAAGAGGGTAAAAAAAGAAATTCGCACCAAAAGTCAGACTGATGCTTCCAAATATGCCCAAATACCTTATTCTTTTAATTCAAAAATTAATTTTTATTTTTATACATAAAAAACGTGTACTAAGTAAATTGGAAACATCTCAAGAGATTATAGATACAATTTGTACAGCACTAAGATTGTGCATTTTGATAGTGTTTCCTCTAGTGCAGAAAACTATTGCTGCTAGACAGATTTTGAGGAAGGATTAGATGGTACAGGCACATCTCAAGTTGTCCATTGCTTAAGAAGGGCCATTTAAATTGTTCAAGAAGCTTCAGTTGACCTCAATCAAGGTTTGGGGATCATCAATAACCCTCATTGGCTTCCAGTCAGATTCTTCATTAGTCTGTCTCAATGCAACAAAGTGAAGAGCATCGCTTCGGACTTGGTAAATATGACAAGCCCATGGGTATGAATCTGGTGCAGACCAAACCTTTTGCTCTTCAAATACAGTTTCCTCTGCAAGCGATTGCACCACGCAATGTACTGTATCAATCTCTGGCTCTGTGAAACCGGCAACAACAATACATCCAGTAGAGACAAATCCCTCAGGAGCCCGTGGATGCCAAATTGACACTGGAGTTATATAATCATCCGAACAGTTCCTCCATACCTGTGCAGTTTCTTTAAGTTACTTGCGTAAGAAGGCATCATAACAACCATGCATTTGAGCAACCAATCAATATTATATGAGACTTCTATTTTCAGAGTTTCAATCACTTTTTTCCCCATCATGCTGCACACAGTAACATGCTAGTGACAATGAACTTGTAATAACTTTAGGGAGGAGAGGGAATAGAATAGAAAATTGAGAGGTTTAACAATTTAACAATGTTCAGGAGCTGATTAGCTATGGAATGGAAGATGAATAGGGGAAACAAAAACTTCTCCCAGAAATTGAGGGAGAATGAGAAGAACTGGGGACTATAACCATTTTATTTCAGTGACTAAACTAGCCTTATTCTTTTTAAAAATTAGATTCTTGCTCATACCCAAGTCTCCTAGGAGTTGGGTAACTCTTCGTTCTCTTTCCCTTCACTATTTAATTTAAACAAGGGAGTATTACACTCTCAATTGCCTTTAAAGTGCTAAAAATCCCACAGCTACTCTCCCACGAGTGGGGTTAAAACAATTACATTTTGGTGCCTAAACTGTTCTTTTTCCTTTTAAAAAATCTAACCCTATTACCACTAATCTGTCATCTTTTTAGGAATATAATTTGATTTTAAAAATGATAACTTCTCATAACCTCTCCTCTTACTTCTTTTAGAGGATCTTTCACCTTTTAACAAGGTGAGTTGGTTATCTCCTCCCTGTCTTCTACCAAGAGGGCGAAGGCTCAAACCTTACATGCCCCTTAGACAATAAAAAAAGGTTAAGTATTTAAAAATGTTTGAAATATGATAGTTAAAATATGATGAGTTTGAAAGAAATAAAGGTTGTTTTTAAGCTTATGCCATATTTTAACAATCATTTCCCAAACTTTCTTCTAATTTTCAAGAATTATATACGTTTTTACATACAAACATATATGAACTCAGAAAAAAAAAAAAAAAAAACTCAAAAAGTTTGTACAACTTTGCATTCCATATTACTTCACTCTCTCTTCCCCTCTTCCAAGTGGAGAATTGCCAATTTCTATTATTAAATCTTTTTTTTTTTAAAGAGAAGACAACTAAAATGTTACCCAATGAGCTTTTGAACCCGGAAGAACAAAAGTAATGCACACACCTCCCAGCAGTCAAGTTTCTAGTTCTTACCAGATCATAACCCACTGGAAGTGCAAACCGTCTATCACTGTTACGATAAATAGCAGCAACATTCGGAGGATGGCTGCCAACATGAGCTATATCGCCAACGGAGATGTAACTGAAGAAAACAAACCATGCTTCAGTTTAAACATAATATGCACATTTAGCAGGATATGTAGGTAAAAGGACATTGTTAACAATACATTGCCTTTAATCTCAGTAGAAAGCTTGGAACCTCTATGTGTATGATAAGTAAAAATTGCTTTCTTGCAATACTACACAAGTGACTTCGAAGCCACTATGTCTAGACAATGTCAGAAAATTAAAGAGTTTCATGAATTGAGGTCTTGCAACTTGCAAGATGTTATGCTCCTTGTTAGAAAGAATATTTCAGAGGGTAAGTTACACAAATTTTTTTAGGTTTATTTTAAAGTAGTCGGGCTAACCTTCAGTTTCCTGTAACTAAGTTTTTCTTTCTTACTTTTTTATGCACTTCATCCTTTTTTACTTCTTTTGAAGTGTGGGACGAAGGGCGCCCTCTACTGCTACTTTAAACTAAATGCGAACAGCTGGCATTGCAAGAAAATAGAGAACCGCTGCCCATTTGAGTCGTTGCGAGCTGGAAAGCGTACTGGCAGTGAAGCCTAGAGCAATAGGTTTACTTTAGCCTCTAGCATCATAGAGTTGTTTGTGATGTTTATTTGTGGTGCTTGTGCCAAGTGAAGCCTAGAGTTTATTTCATGCTAGTTGCTGAAGAAAAAATAGGAGTTTCAGAGGAAGTGTTCTATGAATCCTTAGAGCTTGTTGATTCAGGGGAATGGAGAGTCATGACGAATTATTCCACAAAAAAACTTATTGTTATCGAGCCTTACAGCTTTGCTTGAGAAGAATGAGAACTAGTTGCCCCATGAAACTTTGTTGTGAATTCTAGAGCCTTTGCTAGGAAAATTGAGGAGCACTAGTTGTCCGACAACAGAATTTCTGGAGACCCTAGAACAACTTTTGCTAAGAAGTGTGAGGGAAAAGTGCCCCACCAAAAAAAAAAAAAGATTTATTGAAACCTTAAAGAACTACTTGGATGAGTGAGATTTAGTTATCTAAAAAGAGGTGTGAGGGCAAAGTGTCCCACAAAAAAAAAAAAGTTATTGAAACCTTAAAGAACTATTTGGATGAGTGAGATTTAGTTATCTAAAAAGATTTGTGAGCTATTACAGCCTGGGCACTCAATGGCTTTAACCTTGCTTCCTTACAAAAATAGAAGTTTTTGCCATTTGTTTGTTGAAGCCAGTGACAAATTGTTGCAAATGTTTGCAGTTATTTTTCATAGGCTAATGGTTATTGATTGTACGATTACTTTTCATAGATTGAGCTTCTTTGGAATTTATTGTTGGTACTAAGTGCCAAATTGATACTTGGTTGAGTTTCTTTCAAACTTGTGGTTCGTGGAAGTTGTCAATCTTGTGGCAAAGTAGTTTCTGGAATTTGTCAATTTCGCTGCAAGCAGATCTCGAAATTTTTCACGGGAACGTTCTATATATATAGGTTCTACTATAATCAGTGTCCCATTTATCTACATTCTTATGTCTATTACACCTTTTACTCCCAAGTATCTTTATAAATACATGTACTATTTCTTCCAATAATACCAAGCACAACATTTCAGTTTATTCTTTCACAAGTCATCAAGTTAATCATAAGTGTGAAATAAAAAAAGAATGATAACTGAGCAGAACAAAAAGAATGAAAGCTGAACACAACCAAGAAGTATGTAGAAGAGAAAGAACAGTAATTACCCATCTGGACAAATAGGTCTCCAAATGCTACATATACCTTCATCTTCTGAGACCTAATATGAAAATCATGTTTCCAATTATGACGGTAAAGTGAAAAGAAAAGTACACCTCATGTTGCCTCTGCTCCAGCATGCTCGTGTATACCCATATGCACATGAATGCAAACTTGGAAATAGTTTAAACAAACCAGAGCACAAAATTACCTGTTTTCTACACAATGTGCATCGACCTCTGGATTCCCGTTCACTACTCCATATCTTTGAGAAGTTGATAGTATGTTTAACAAATTTTCTTTCATTTGACATGGAACTGGATGAAGAGAGGTCTCTTGAATTAATTATTGCTTTACTTGAGGTATGGGTTTCATTCCCATCAGTTACATTCCAAGAAAAATACACAAATCTTTGGCTTGAAGGGACCTGAATGTGGTAAATACAGTGGGACTAAAAGTCAAACAAATATAAGCGCCACCTTAAGGGAAATGCGTAGATTCATGCACATAAAAAATTAGCTGAGGAAATTCAATTTAGTTGAAGTGATAACCTTCAGAGTCAGGCATTTGATGTCAGACTGGTATGCCTTCCACATTTTACGTACGACTGAACAGATCCTAACAGCTTGGTGTTCTCTTCCCTCTATTTCTTCAACACTACATTTAATAATGCGTACAAAATTTTCTGACCTCCTAAAATTCTTTAGATGCAGCATCAAGTGAGAAGGCATAAGGCAGCCTGCTTTTGCCAATTCCAGAGCCATGAGCTCCTCCCATGGCACATCCCACATTATCTTGGAGGGCTTTTTATCCATCTTGTCTAGATGTGGACACTATATTGAAGTAGAAAACTCAGAATCAAGAAGACAAGAGTTCAAATGATTCAGAAAATCCATACAGGTAACCAGACTAAAGTCTCCTTGACCAACCTGTAATAGCATCACTCTTTTATTGGTTACTAAAACAATTCGCTGATAGGGAACAACAAAATGCTCTTCATAAAGATCAGACCAAGCAAATTTTGCAGGTTCCTTGAATATTTCGGTACAACCGAAATGACGGCTTGCCTCTGCAAGATAAAGTATCATCTGGAAGCCAATAGAGAAATTACATGAGGATTAAGAATCATACTAAGAAATTTTTACACTAATAGGATTACAAATTACAGGTAAATCCGATTAAATCTGTAGCTATGCATTGTTAAGTTTAATATGTTTACACCATGAGCCTTTTTCTAAATTTCAAGCTATTCAAGCAGAATTTCATCTCATCCTCCACTTTCTTTTCCTCAAACCTAAAATACTATTACACTTGGTGAAGTTATAGAAGGATTTCAGAAAGTAATGGACCTCAGCTTCAGTAACTTGGATTATAATAAGCTTGCAATAGAGTAAAATTATTGTTGACAAAACATTGATTTATCAGAGTCGTATAGAAAAAGCAGATACAAGAGAAACCTAAGAACCTACATATTCTAGCATATCTAACATATAGTCTTGGTCAATGCAGAAACCCCTGGTACCTTTTAAAAAAAAATTCAGCATCGGTCTTGAGATACACCTTTAAATATAGCATATCAGAATATTTATAACCATACCTGACCAACAGCTTCTTTCTCACAATACTCCCTAAGTACACCATCTCCATGGATAGCTCGAGGGTTTCTGATCCTCTCCAGGGCGGTTCGATTATTCAAAACCTCCAAGCATTTGGAACAACTTGCACCAATTCCATCAACAGTCAATGAGAAGAAATCCAAAGCCCCACTCACTGGCTGTACAATAAATCCTAGAAATGCACGCCCGAGCCCATGTGCAAGTCCCAGCAGACCATTCTGTCTGGCACTCTCCACCGGTTTCGTCACCACTCCTGATACTCCGAAAGCAACACCTTGTGCTAGGGCTTCTGTACCTTGAATGATCCCATCACTTACCCCAGTGATTCTCCTTGACCATACCTGATACACATAAAAATCTCTTTTGTATAGATTTTCCAGAAATTTAAAAAGGTAAAAGGCTTAATGTTTACCTGTTTTGAACGTAACTGCAGGAACTGACCATCAGTTGAAAGCTCGGCAAATCCTTTGCTAAGAGAAGCCAATGTTGAACTAGTCATACCAAGAACATCTAGTGAAAAAATCAAATGTAAAGGATTGTGGATCAGGTCTCTCCAAATACGGTTACTAATGGCTGGAATAATAGAGCTCTGCCGCATGAATCTGTCTCTGTGCATCACCCTCCTCAAGTGGACCTAAATGAAGAGATCAAACAATTAGGAGAAGCAACATCTTGTGATCAACATTATTATAAATCTACTGCTGACCAGGAAATCTTTATATCTGCTACTTTGCCTGGTCTTCGAGGTGTTAGAGAGCACAAGGTATTGTGAAAGTGATATATTCAATGGTTTACAGATAATATTGTTGGAATGAATTTTAATACCTGCACATGTTTTCGTGTAGCACTATCTTATTTGCTTCTCTTTGGGAGAGGGCTCATGATTTCTTTTGGGTATGCCCTACTCTACTTTATAAAAAAGTTAAAAATATCCCAAGCATCTAATGGTAGGAAATGACAAAAACTTTTTATTATTTGTTCTGTAACTTGCCCTTCAGGGGCAAGCCTACCACTAGGCTGAAAGTGCAAATAAATCATAAGAACATCATATCTTGTGGACAAAGATTTATAAAACAAAATTTTATAACTCTGTTCTAGACATAAGAATACATAAATAATTTCTTTTACGCTGTTTTTCTGACACAATCCTTTCAATTCATAATGATATGTTTAAATGATATATTTGATAAAATGTGTTTAACAGAAGTTTTTAGAAGGTTCCTGCTTTCTCTAAGTTCAAAGTCTTCGTTTGCCTGTCTTGAAGATGTCAAATACTAATAGTTTGCTCCAAACATGCAGAACACGTCGTGCTTTTTCGTCATGGGTATGTGTCATGTGTTAATTGAGCAATAGAGAGCCAAAGTCACATTTTTTTGCATTGTGATTTGGCTTGAATATCCCTTGTCATCTTGAGGGGTTTATTACTTATTTATTTGTGGCTTTAGCAAGAGGAAAAAGGGTAAGACATCATGGCGGAGGCCTACTTGTGGTTGATATGGTTGGAAGTGAAAACAGAATATTTAGGGATAAAACTTTCTTTTCTGTTTTTACTTCTTTGGGATGTAATGTTCTTTCTGGCATCTCTTTGGGTCAAGGTTCATGAATACTTTTAATGATTACTCTCTTTGTTGCAGACAGATCGGACAGCCATCCTTTAGAAAAGATTGCTCTTTTCGTTTCTTCTTGTTTAATTTGGGAGGATATGGAGTCCTCTGCTCTTTTTTGTACTTTTTCTTCTCATTCTTACTTATGTTTTTTTTTCCATAAGAGAAAATTACTAAACACAACCCATCACTAAAAACTTCTAAGATTTGTTTAATATACCGTTAAAAAAAAAATAAATCAACATGTTAAAAAAGAAGCAAATCAGGCTAAAAAATATAATCATATTCTTTGTAATTAATTATAATTAATTGTTTATTTTCTTTTTCGTCCTGAAAAACCTTTATATATATGATTGTAGTATTCAATATCATTCTTAACATAATATTAGAATTTTAAAATAAAAAAATTCCTAAACTGTTCTACAAATACTATTTGGCCTTCATTGCTGAAATAAAAAAAGACCTAAAAGAGGCCAACCTTCATAGCAGGCTACCACTCTCCTGATGCTAGTCAATCCTCCACCACCAGAAGTCTTTTATAGTTGGCCCTAGGAGCTGCTGCTCCTTGTAGCCGCCACTCAGCCTAGCACCTCCAGCGAGAAAAGAGGAGACTAATGCTGTGGAAGAAAAGGAGAAAAATGCCGGACTTGGAAATTTGGAAAGATATGCTTGGATTCTCCTTGGATTGGGTCTCCAAAATTCCTTAATCTTGGTTTCCTCTTTACTGTTTGAGAGAATTTAAAGAGAGATATGCAAGGGGGTGTGCGAATCATGGACAGAATGGGCTTTGCTTTCCTTTAACGTGGCCATAACCATTTAAATTTATGTAGCCATGGTATCTTTTGTGGCCGTGAGCTCTCAAGACCAAGAAAATATTTGCCTTTGTTTGCTAAAAAAACAAGAAAATATTTGCTTTCGTGTTTGTATACCTTTTCCATTAAGACAAAAATCTCCTAATTATTTGCCTTTATTTTTGTTACCATGTATAGTTACTTCCTTCTATAGATAATTAGTATGTATATGTCTCTGAAGTACCACATGAGCATCAAGATAACATTTTCCTTTCCTCGGGTTTCACTATCAATTTCAACACTATAGTAATATTGTATTGATAAATAGATTATATCCACATTTGAAAATTTCACCCGATTAAAATTGATGTTGTTGTGTTCTAATTGACCCATATGAAGTTAAATGATTTAATTTACATTTAAAATCCATATTCTATTAAAATGATATGTACATAATGTAATTATTTAGAAAGATAAAGGTTCAATATACCCTATTTGAATAAACTAAAGAAGAAAATGTCCAATAAGTGAACCTCTATTGATATGAATATTTTGTTACCTAAATGATTATGATATTTTTTTCTATATAGTTCTTATTATTAATTTCTTGTAATTATTTAAAATCTCTATTGTAAGAGAAATTTTTTTATTTATATTTAAAAATTCTTATATATATATATGAGTTATTTTTAACACAAAAAATATAATAAAAAATAAAGTGAATATTTTTTCCTAAATTTTATATGGTATCAGAGTAGAGTAAGAATATTTTAGGTTTTTGTTTTTAGAATTTCTTTCAAAACCCTAAAATCTTTTCATTAGCCACCCAAAACAGAGAGGTAGACTCACTATGCACCAGGCCGCCCTACTCCGGTTCTACCTCCACCCTACCCAACCTGCTTGCTCTGCCCAACTGCAGCGGCTCAAGCAGCATTTCACACGCAGCTCCCGACTCCAGACTCGTCTGCTTTTTCGCACACAACCCTTTGTTTGCTCCATCCGACTGTAGTTATTCACGTGGCCCCTCGCGTGCAATCCTCTGGTTCGAGTTTCAATCTGTCCGCTTGCAGTGGTAACCACTGCTTCCTTTCGGGTTCTTTACACACGACGCGCACACCCAACAGCTTTTGGTTCGTCCACGCCCGCTGCTCCTTCGTCAGGTTCCCTCGCGTGTGGCATCTGATTCGCCGGGTTTCCTCGGCCGCTCCTCTGGGTTGCTTCGGTTCTGTTGCCCGTATCAACTTATATTCTTTCAGCTTTTGTTTTTCAACCTCTATTTTGGGTATCAGCTTCTGCTTCAGATTGCTATTTTTCTGCTGTTCCAGCAAAGGGCCTTTCATCAGGTTTTTTTTTGTCTTCTTTTTGGTCTTCTTTTTGTTTGACCAAAACCTGTTTCTTGCAATCTTGTGTTCCATTTCAGCAAGGGCTCTTTCTGTTTTTATGATCTACTATTGTGTTCCAGCGCACACTCCAACTTTTGTCTCCATTTGCAGCGTGTTTGACATTCTTGGTGTTGATCAGAAGAATTTTTCTATTTTGTTGAGATTAGCAGCTGGGTATTGCTCTTTCTTTGTCTCCAGTTATTTTTTTAAATAATGAGAAGAGTGAAAAAATTAATTGTTTCGAGTATGGGTAGCAATCCATCAACTATTGATACGTCAAAAATGGTAAACTCAGGTACTTTTCCACTTCCTATTATTTTCAATTCTGATACTTGAATTATAAATTCTAGAGCTAACAGACACATAACAGGCTTTACTAAAGATTTTCTAACCTAATTTCTATGTACTCAATGGAAAAATATCCGTGTTACCGATGGATTATACACTCTTATATTTGGAACAAGCTTTATTAATTGTAGTCCAACCATTTCACTAACTTCAGTTCTTTGTGTATCTAGTTTTTCTAACAGTCTCTCATCTATTAGCGCTCTTACTAGAGATTTTAACTCTAAAATTGAATTTTTTTTTTACCATTATGTCATTCAAGATCTTTAAATAAGAAAAACGATTGACACGGCTAAACTGCAGGATGACTTATATGTCTTGAACAGAAGTCAAAACATTATTGGGAATCAAGTTGCTTTCGGAGATACGGATGTCAATAGGGAAATTCTACGATTGCATCAACGGTTAGAACATCCTTCTTTCTTTAATCTAAAAAAATTATATCCCACATTATTTAAAAGAACTTTTATAAATTCCTTATTTTGTAATACATGTGAGTTAACTAAACATAAAAGGAGTTCATATCATGTAAGTAACCATAGAAATTCTATGTAACACCCAAAAAAAATTATTATTTTTATTTTTTAATTTATTTTAATTTGTATTAGAATTTTAGTTTAATTTTGTATATATTTAATTTATAAAGTTTTAATTTAATTTAATGAAAATAAAAATAATAATAATGATAAAATAGGGTAAAATTATTTTTAGATTTAATTGAAATTGATTTTGGGAAAAATGGGTGAAAATTTGGATTATGAGGGTGTTTTTGAAAAGAAAATCGAAAACCAAGAGTCAAAATGCAATTTAGAAAAGTTGTGCGAAGTCAGCAGCCATGTCAGCAGCCCCGGCCAACCAGGACACGCCGCGTGGCAAGAAACACTGACGCGGGACGGAGTCACGTAGGCGATCCACGTGCGCGCGATCGGACGGCCCAGATCCGTTCCCACGCGCATGGACGGCCCAGATTCAATCAGGCACGGACAGCCCAAATCGCATCGCGATGGACGGCCCAGATTTAATCCCAAATAAATCGCGATCGGACGGTCCAGATTAAATATTGATAGACGGTTGAGATTAAAAGGGGAAGGGTATAAATAACCTCACCCACACCCAACCAAAGGGTATAAATAACCTCACCCACACCCAATCACAAACCCTTGCTGCCAGTGCCTCGTCGGAGAAGAAGAACCAGACGGCGGAGGAGCCGGCCGCCGCCGCACCGAAAAATTTTCCGACCGCCAAACGAGGTAAATTTTCTTCCCTTGACTCGTTTTTCGATGCTGAATCCGCCTATGGCCAAATCGGAGCCAAACCATCGGCAAATCGGCCGGAAAACCACGCTGAAGTCCAACGGCGCCGCGGCGGCTTCCCTTTGTTTTTGCCTCCGATGAGGCCCTTTCTGGTCTCCATTCGATGCAATTTTTATACCACTGTGATCACCGTCCTTTTCTCTACAAGTTGACCGGAGCAAAACATCAAAACGCGACTCGCGCCAGAGAAGCCGCCGCACCCGAGAGCACTGCCGCTGGTAAGTCTCGGTTTTTCGTGATTTTTTGATCCATTGAGGGCCCTAGGGTTGTTTTATCGTAGAGACTAATGCAAGTTTGGCCGAAAACGGCCAACCCGAGGCTAATCGCCACCGCAGGCGGCGGCGCCGTCACTGGAACACAGCGGAGCCGCCGTGCTGGAATTCCGATATTGGCCGAAAGGGGGCCTAGGTCTGATTTGGAATTTTTTGGGACACGTGCAGGTATCGGTAGTGCGTTTCAGTTTCCCAGCAAAAATTCAGGGAATTTAGGGATAGCCCGTACGCGCACCGTAGAGCCGATTTCAGACCCCAAAACAAGTAAGGATCTCTCACCCTACCTCCTATCACAGCATTAAAGCTTAATAAATAATTAAACGGTATTTTGTGACTTTATAGATATGTATAATTGATTGAGGTTGCCAATGGAGTCCGAATCTGATACATTGTTGGTCAGTTGTTGTTTGATCTATTTTTAAGTATTAAATGCAGTATGATATTTGATGTATTTATTTTATGGTCTCGTATGCATGAATCATGATTTCTTTTATTATGGTTTGTATTATATTGAACCCGATACTGTGTTGTCTTGTTTGGTGTTAATTACTGGTTTACATGTTTGTGTATGATTGGATGATTGAGACCAAGGAAAAAGGCAAAAAGGTTATGTGAATTGATAAATGGATAATGTGGACAGTCTGACTAGATATCTTGGGAGATGGTGGACGGACCGGATCCGTAGGGAACCCTACCGGGAACGTGGTCTCTCATACCGGACGGGGTATGGAGACCTTATGTGTTTTGGTGCCCATACCGGACAGGGTATGGGGACGGCCCGTTTCACCCTCATACCGGACGGGGTATTGAGGTTTATGGTTTTGGGACCCATACCGGACGGGGTATGGGGACGGCCCTGGAATCAGGTTATTAATGTCAATGGTTCACGTGTAACGGGGACCCCCTATGGATCCCCTTGGATACTAGTAGGCTGGTAAAAAAGAAAATTTGTTGTCTGATTATTGAAGTGTAGAAGTATGACATGTGTTCTATTACAAAGTGTACATGATTTTATGATGTTTATGATGTAATTATTTTAATAAGTTATTTTCATGAATCTCACCGAACTAAGTGGACAGTAAAGGTTTTTATGTTAATAAATGAGTTTGTTATAAATTATGCTTAATTGGTTGTTTTGTTTTCTACCGACCTTTACTCCTGTGGCAGTGAGATAGTGTAATGTCTTTACTGGGCTAGTGTAGTTCATTCCTTACTTAACCACTTTAGATCAAGAAGACGGGATTCCCGAGCCCGTTACGCAGGAAGACGGCGAGTTAGACGCGTAAAGACTTCATAGTTCTATTTATAGTTTTTATTTCGAGTATCTCTCTTAATTAGCTTATTCTTTCATGTTTTAAGTACGTTTTTAGTTATTGTGTAAGGGATGTTAATCAAATACAGGTGAATCATTTTTATCTTGTGAATTATCTGATAAACTCAGAAAAGGAATTAGAACTTGTACTAAGCATTCTATGTTTAACTGTCTCCTATGACTCTCTATCTCCCTCCTATAGCACTTTTGTCTTATTTGTTTCCTCTTTCTATTCCACAGGACTGGAGAAAAGGTCTACAAGATACTAAATGGAAGGAAGCGATGATTGAATAAATGAAAACATTGGTAAAAGATGAAACATGAGAATTTATTTCAACCCCACAAGAAAAAAAGATGGTTGGTTGTAAATGGGTGTTCACTATAAAACAAAAACCAGATGAGTCGATTGAAAGATACAAAACTAAACTAATGGCTAAAGGGTATACTCAACCTATAGAGTTGACTATCAAAAAACCTTTACACTTATTGTAAAAATGAACATAATTAGAATATTACTATCCTGTACTGCTAATCTTAATTGGGATTTACACCAGTTTGATGTAAAAAATATTTTTCTCCATGAGAACTTAGAGGAAGAGGTATACATGAAAATTCTACCTGAATTCGAAAATGAAAGAACACAAGAGAATATCTATAAATTAAAGGCATTTTATGGATTAAAACAATCTCCAATAGCATAATTTGAAAGATTCAGAAGAGTTATGATCTCTTTCGAATATCAGCAAAACAATACTGATCATACTCTATTCATCAAGCATTATGAGAGTAAGATCACTCTTCTCAGCAAAACAATTCTCTTGCTCGAGAATTTGAAATTAAGAATTTTCATTTTTTAAAGAAAGTATATTCTAAATTTATTAGAAGAGACTAAAATGATTGGTTACAAGCCAGCAGAATCTTCTATTGAAAGTAATCACAAACTACAAGCTAGCAGTAGTTCATCAGTTGACATAGAAAGATATCAGAGATTGGTCGGAAAACTTACTTATCTCTCACATACCAGACCAGATATAACTTATGCAGTTAGTTTGGTGAGTCAGTATATGCATGATCATCGCGAGATTCATTTACATGTCGTCTTTTAAATATTACAATATCTGAAATCTGTATCAGGAAAAAGTTTACTTTTCTCCAGGAATGACCACCTTAAGATAGAAATGTTTACAGATGCCAACTGGGCTGGATCTCCAGATGAAAGAAGGTCAACTACTGGTTACTGCACATTCGTTGGTGACAACTTGATTATATGGAAAAGCAAGAAGCAGAGTGTAGTTGACTGTTTTACTGCTGAAGCAGAATATAGAGCAATGGCTCAAGGGGTATGCGAATTATTATGGTTGCAAAAACTAATGAACGACTTAAAATTGTTTAAAGAAGGGAACCTATCATTATTTTGTGACAATAAAGCAGCAATTAGTATTGCCCAAAATCCAGTTCACCATGAGCGGACGAAATATATTGAGATTGACCGTCACTTCATAAAAGAGAAAGTAGTTGATGGCTCCTTATGCTTATATCATGTATCTTCTACCAATCAGGTAGTAGATATCTTTACTAAAAGACTTTATAACAAAACTCTTTAAAACTTGATATGCAAATTAGACATGTGTAATATTTTCGTACCAACTTGAGGGAGAGTGTTGACATGAATATTTTGTTATCTAAGTAATTGTGATATTTTTTTTTATATAACTCTCACTATTAATTTGTTGTAATTATTTAGAATCCTTATTATAAAGAAAATTTCTTTATTTGTACTTAAAAATTCTTATATATATATGAGTTATTTGCAACACAAAAAATATAGTAAAAATAAAGTAAATATTTTTTTCTAAATTTCTATAACCTCTATGTTCATGTAGAGCCATATAAACTTATTCTTGGTTGGGTCACTAACAACACAAGGAAACAGAAAAATCCACTCATGCACATTCCATCTCAGTTTACTATTTTTAATCTCTTTTGATTCCTTATGGCAAAGATGCTAAAAGACTCCAAGTAATCTCCACTAAAGAGTTTTTTCGCAAGATGCTTTTATCTTGTTTGTAAAGGGATTAGATTGCTATTTTGTCTTAATACTGTTGGGTTGTTTGTTTTTTCTCATATCGCTCTTTCTAATGATACCTTCTCTTTCTACAAAGAAATCTCTATTGGAGGAGTCCGCAGCTTTTCTCAGTGAAATATTAAAAAGAAGACAACAGTGAACTTATTCTTTTTGAGTCAATATTTTATGTAAAATTCAGCAGTCACAAAATCTCTGCCGGTTGTGTGCAAGAGAAGTTATTGTTCTAACTACAGTAACAAATTATAAAATCCAGCATGATTCCCCATCATTAAATAACTAAATAATTTCAAGAATATGATCCAAAACTAATGAACCCTACAGAAGAATACAATCTTACCTGGATCTTCAATGCATTTCCAACAGCAGATAATATAGGACTCCATACGCCTAGAATTCCATGAGGTCTTTCAGCTGGTGCTGTCTCCAAAGACACCTTCAACCGTACTTCGGAAACATCTACGAGGCTGAAAAAGTAAAGATGGGGAAATGTCATGATAACTCAATATTAGACCCCAAAAGATTACTGTTTCCAATATTATAATTTATTACAGGATATATCTTCTTCCCATGTTAAACAAATATGCAAATAAACGATATTAGAGTTATTGGTATATGAAGGAAACCTCCCACAGCTATCAGTGCTTCTATTAAAATGATTGTGGGTCAAGTTCAGCAAAGTAAAAGATATTCCTAAATGAAATTCGGCCTGACAAACTCATTAATTAATTAAAAAGGGACAATAATCACCACAAACAGAAGAGTGAATCACCAACAACAGAAGAAGCATCATGGTGGTAAGAATCATACAAGCATTATGTTTTGAGCTTAAGTGAGATGGTCATGCAATACAGTAAAATAACACCTCGAATGCTTAATTCAAGACCCACCAACTTCCGTACAAGCCAACCCAAGACAGTAAGACAACAATCAAGAGGCAGATTGCCCATTAACAACTTCAGAGCGTCTAGCTTTGCCAGAGGAGAGGACCAATATTATAACGATGTTCTACTCAAGCAAGCCAGTCCACTGATTGGCTAGCCATATCTTTCGTAAAACAACAAAGATACATCTCCCACAGTAAGATTCATTACTTTGGTTTAGTATCAATTTGCCGATGATAGGCAGAATTTAATGATACTTGGTGCCACAAAGATGAAGTAACTCGGTCTAGGAATACACTACAGAAGGTGACATCTTTTTCATTCAAAATAAACTTGAGCCATCCACGTGACTTGAAAATATAATCAAGGAAGAGGGAAGCAACCATTTCTGCTGTATATGGATGGGGAAATGATACGAAGTGCGAATGTTTAAATAAGTGAATTATCACAATAAAACATTTTTACCACATTAAGAAAGAAGACCTTTAACAAATTCAAAAGAGACTTCAAATCAAGTCCATAAGAATAGGACGGACAAAATAGAAGGGTTCCAGCTTAAAGACCTGACAAACAGAATAGGTCAAGTAAAATTCTGAACAAGTTGGTTCACATCTTCCCGATAAAAATAAAAATTCAACCTCTTTGAGGTTTTTTTGGTGTCCTTCATTAAACTGATTATGAATAACAAATAACAAGATTGACTCAAGGCGCAAATTGTGGGCAAGAAATGCCATGTTATGATAGCAAATTAAGGCATCATGAAAAGCCCAACCATAGTCATTTCACTATGGCTGATAGTTGATGAAGTGTATCTTTACTAGAATATCCTTGAGATAATCCAAATGAGGCATGGAGATAGAAGCATAAAGTCTAGAATTCACAATTTGCTGGGATAAAACATTAGCAATATATTTTCCTACAAGAAAGTGAAAAATTTTTAATTAAATTTTCTATTTATAAATTAAATACAAATCAGTTGTATAAAGTAAAAAACATCTTCTAATTAGAGAAGTTGACTATAATTGTGCTTAATAAGGAGATCTCCCTAAAAATATCAATTTGTATAGAACTTGAACTTCTACAAGAAGTTAGATTCTTACGCTCCCCCACAAGCTAATTTGAAGATGTTGAGCAAACTAATCTCGGAACTCAATTTTTTGAAAGTCTTCCTAGGTAGTGCCTTAGTGAAAATAACCGCAATTTGATGGCAAGATTGAATATGTCACAAGGATAGCGCTCTTGACTCAATTTTTCTCTTTAACAAAGTGTTTATCAATTTTCACATGCTTAGTTTGCTTATAATGAATTGGCTTCTTTGCTATGTTAATTGTGGGTTGATTTCACATAATGCTTTGTAGCTGCATGCCTTCATAGATACTATGTGCTAAAACTCTAAACTCAACCTCAACATTATTTCTTGATACTATTCACTACTTTTTGCTTATGCAAGTAACTAGGTTTTCACAGATTTAAAAAGTATCAAGAGGTGGATCTTCTATTAGTTACAGAACCAGCCTAACCTGCATCCGCATATATTTTAATTTCTTGATTTCTATTTTTCTCGAAAAATAATCCTTATCAAGCTGTCATCTTTACATACTTGAGAATCTGAAACACTACTTCCGTAAGTTCTTCAGTTGAGTTATTCATGAATTGACTAACCACACTAATGTTAGAATTAATATCTAGTTTAATATGTAAGAAGTAAACAAATGTATCCACTACACATTGGTATCTTTCTTTATCAACCGGAACACTATCAATTTTACTTTTCAATTTAATGTTGGGATCCACAGGTGTATCTGCGGGTTTACATTCAAACATTTCAGTCTCTTTTAAAATATCCAACACATGTTTTCTCTAAGAAATTGAGATTCTTGAATCTAGCAATTCTAATTCCTAGAAAACATTTGAAATTTCCTACGTTTTTAATCTCCAATTCATTAACTAAGACATTTTTTAGTCTAAGTATATTTTCTATCTCATCTCCCATAATTATTATATCATCTACATATACGATGAGGATTGTTCTTTTTCCTGAAGGATCATGCTTGACATATATAGTATGTGTTTGACATTAATTATATCTAAACTCCTGATTGTCTTAGTGAATTTGTCGAATCATGCTCTTGGAGATTATTTGAGTCCATATAGAGATTTTTTGAGTCTGCAGACATTTCTGTTAATGACTTGACTTTCAAAATCTCTTGGTATCTTCATATAGATTTCTTCTTACAGTTCTTCATTAAGAAAAAAAAATTTCTCAATTTGTTTGAAATATTAGTCAATCTAAATTGACAGCTATAGACATTAGTATCTAAATTGTATTAAGCTTTGTTAATGGTGTAAATATCTTCTGGTAATCAATTCCAAAGAATCGAGTAAAGCCTTTATCCATTGATCAAACTTTGAACATGTTGATATACCATCAACATTATTTTTGATTGTGAACACCCATAAACAGCTAACTAGGTACTTTCTGCATGTTAATTTTGTTATTTTCCAAGTCTCAATCTTTTCTGAAGTTTGGATTTCCTTCATGATTACAATTTTCCATTCGGTTACTTTTTTAATGCTTCATGTATATTATTGGCATTTGTATTTTATCAATATTGCTAAGAAATGTCAGGTGAGTTGATGACAGACTTTTGTATGAAACAAAACTATGAATTGGATGATCAATGCATGCTCATTTTTGTTTTCTTTATTAAAACAATAGGGCTATCATTATATAAATCGTTAAGTGAGAGATCCTACTGAGATTACCTGAAGTTTTCAATGATGCTGAATCTGGATCGAAATTAGATTCATGACTCTGATAACGTAGTTGTAGCTCTTTCTCTTCTTGGTCCATGTTCATTCTTATGTAAACTCGAAGTTCATGTTTTTCATTGTGGTGAGTAGATTCGAGTCATTCGGTATGGTGAGTAGGTTTAGGTCCAGGTGTTTCTCTCGATCTATGTGTTCTGAAAACTAAATAAGTTCAGTTGGAGTAGGATGAAGATATTCAGTGTTAGAATCCCAAAATTGGGATTCTTGTGTATTATTCTTGTTAAATATAATATTTTGTTGCTTAATTAATTGAGATGATGTAATTAATTAGAATTCTATTAGAATAGTAATTTCTTTATAGTTAAAATCCTATTACAATAGTGATTTTCTTATCTGTAGGTAGAAATTCTCTATACATACCCTAAGTGTAACAATATAAAGTGTATCATAAATAAAAGAGAATATTTTTTCTTCAAAAAATCTACATGGTACCAGAACCAAAATAAGGCTATTTCAGGGTTCTAATTTCAAGATTTCTCTAAATCCTAATTTCACGACCTATCCAGACAGAGTCGCAGCTCACCCCCCCGTCTGTCCCCCAGAATTCGGTTGCCGTTTTTCACGCATGAACCACACGTGCCTATCGGCAACAGAAGCGCATGAGCCACATGCGCTGTGAGGTCCACTTCGATCTGGCCTGAATGGCGTTGCACCGCAGCCGAATACCCAGACTCGACCTTTTCGGCTTGTCGCACAAGATCTAACACGAATCGCACCTCCCCACTCCTGCCTTCGCGTGGCTGCTGCACATTCGGCCGATCCGCCGGTTTGAGCACTCTGCCACGTTGTTCAAACCCCATCCATACACGGAAAATACTCGATTTGGACCTCCTGCGATTTGCTCAGTCCTCACATTGAGCCATGCTACATTTGCTGGTCAGAGCTCTCCGCCGCATCCTTCCAGCCTTCTGCATACGGAGATGTCCAACTCTCGCTACTTCGCACTGGATTACTTTGATCTGGTCTATCTGCTCTTGAGCCGAGCTGAGCCAAGCCGAGTCGAGCCAATCTGAGCCGCTGCCAAACAGATATGTTTCCAGTGATCTTCAAGCTTGCACCGCTTTTTTGGCCTCCATTGGTGTTGATAAGAAGGTCTTTTCTATCTGGTTGGGATTAATTATTGGGTATTGTTCTTTCTCTGTCTTTAATTACTTTAAACAATGATAGAAGTAAAGAAATTGGTTATTGTAGATTTTTGAAGAAAAAATAATAATTTTATTTGTCACCCTTTAAGTTATTACATTAAGGGTATTTATAAAATTCTTAACCTATTGATTAAGAAATTTTTATTTCACTAGAATTCTAATTACATGGGATTATCTGATTAAATAATAAAATAATAAAATATCCTATTCAACACTCCCTTTCAATTTGGCGTAAAAATATTATACATGGCCAACTTGTAGACCAAATTGCAAACCCAAGGCGTACACACACTAAAAAGCCGAAAAAGGATTAACAAAGACTGGTCGGAATGGCTTGCCCGCAAAAGAAGCAGATCTGTACCGGATTGCGAAACTAGAGGCAAACACACGCGGAAGAGCCAGAAAAAATGACCAGAAAAGGTTGGTCAGAGCGCCTCGAACTCGACTCACAAACAGCTCAAGATCAGCTCAAAAACGGCTCAGCTAAGAGGGAGAGCAGCTAGACTTGGTGCATCTTCTCTGGACAGATCTGGTTTCGGGCATGGGGATTGATCTTCTGAATTCCAAGGCCAAAGCTACTTCCTCGCAATCTGTCTTCCTTGTACGAGTCGTGCACGTCCACACTTCTTCTGGCACAACTCACCTTTCCGAATCTGGTCTTGATTCACCTGAAATCGAGATAGATCCACCTGCCGAGCCTTCATCTTTTTGTTTCAGGCCCCGCGGACTCATATCGCCGACATCCATTGCTTGAAACGACACACAATTCTGGTCGTGCCAGAGATAGATATTCCACTGCACGATTTTCCTCCGTCGCCGGTGCTGTCTTGGCTCCTCCAAGTCGTCGTCAGCACACATAAGTCTGATATGATTTTCTAGGGTGGTGAAGAGAGTAAATATGGATAAGTGGGTACCAACCCAGCCTATTGTGTTATTTTAGTGTTTGAAGAAAACCCTAAAATTAGAACCCTAAAATAACTTTATTTAACTTTGATGCGATTAAGATTTTTAGAGAAAAAATAATAATTTTATTTCTCATTTTTTAAATTGTTACACTTAAAATATTTATAAAATTCCTAACCTACTTATTAAGAAATTCATATTCTATTAAAATTCTAATTATATGAGATTACCTAATTAAATAATAAATTAATTAAAAAATAAATTAATAAAACATTCTATTCAACAGTTGTTCTTACTTCAGGTTACCATTCATCAACTATTGCAGCTTTTTCAAAAGATGAAATTCAAAGTCTGAAGCATTTAATATCTCAATTTAACCATTCATCAACTATTGGTACGTAAAAAATGGTAAAATTAGGTCTTGTTCATCTCTCTGCTATTTCCAATTTTGATACTTACATTATAAACTCTAGAGCTAATAGACACATGACAGCCTTTCATAAAGACTTCCTAACTTATTTTTCTTATAGTAAAGAAGAAAATATCCGTATAGCAGATGATCATACGCTCTTGTATTTGGAAGAAATTTCATTAATTATACTCCAACTAGTACTCTATCTTTAATTCTTCATGTGCCTAATTTTCTGACAGTATCTTATTCATTAGTGCCATTATTAGAGATTTTAACTGTAAAATTGAATTTTTTCCTAACTATTGTGTCATTTAAAATCTTCAAACAGAGAAAATGATTGACACTAGTACACTGCATGATGACTTATATATCTTGTATAAAAGTTAAAATGTAAATGAGAATCAAGCTGCCTTTGTAAATACGGATGTCAATAAGGAAATTCTATAGCTGCATCGACAATTGGGACATTCTTCTTTCTTTTATGTAGAAAAATTATATCCTAACCTATTTAGAAGAACTTCTATGTATTCATAATTTTGTGATGCACGTGAACTAACTAAACAAAAAAATAATTTCTATCATGTGAGTAACTATAAAAGTCCTACCCCTCTTATGACGATTCGCTATGATGTTTGAAGATTTACTTAAAATACCTCCTTATCTTATCATAAATGATTTATTACTTTTATTAACTATTGTACTAAATTAACATAGATTTATCAGTTGAAAGCAAAAATTAATATATTATTTTCAGTCATTTCATAAAATGATATGCACACAGTTTGATACTAAAATTAAAATTTTAAAAACAGAGAACAGTACAAATATATAGATGGTGGATTCCGTGCCTATTTGGAGTCTAGTGGAATAATTTACTAGACGAATTGTGCTTTCATCATGAATCTACCCAAAAGTTACTGGGTAAATGCAATTCTTGTAGCTACTTATCTTATAAATAGAATATTTTTGAAAACTCTCGATTTTAGAAGTCCTTTAGAAGTTTTGCAAGCAAAAAATTCATATACTGTTTTTTTTAAGGTGTTTGAATATGTTTGTTTTATCCATACTAGAAATGTGGACAAGTTGAAACCCAAGTCTCTCAAAGATATTTGGGACATATAAGTGTGCTTCTTCAAGATATTTGTCTAAAGGCGGAAATAACTCCATAATTTTGCACAAACTTCTGATAATACCATGGTAGCCAAACAACTTTGCAAAACTTTCATAGAGTTACATTATGGCCATTGATGCAGAGCACACAACTGAAATTGGCCACTTGTTGGGAAAAATATATTTAGAGTTAAGAAAGAGATAGTGTTGTTAGATACTAGTGAAAACCAACCCTAGGTACCCTAAAATGGTCCATAAGGTATCACTTTAGATAAGAATATTA